GTTGCTCTCTATGACCTTTAGGTGTTGCTCTCTATGACCTTTAGGTGTTGCTCTCTATGACCTTTAGGTGTTGCTCTCTAGGACCTTTAGGTGTTGCTCTCTATGACCTTTAGGTGTTACTCTATATGACCTTTAGGTGTTGCTCTCTAGGACCTTTAGGTGTTGCTCTCTAGGACCTTTAGGTGTTGCTCTCTACGACCTTTAGGTGTTGCTCTCTAGGACCTTTAGGTGTTGCTCTCTAGGACCTTTAGGTGTTGCTCTCTATGACCTTTAGGTGTTGCTCTCTAGGACCTTTAGGTGTTGCTCTCTATGACCTTTAGGTGTTGCTCTCTATGACCTTTAGGTGTTGCTCTCTATGACCTTTAGGTGTTGCTCTCTAGGACCTTTAGGTGTTGCTCTCTATGACCTTTAGGTGTTACTCTATATGACCTTTAGGTGTTGCTCTCTAGGACCTTTAGGTGTTGCTCTCTAGGACCTTTAGGTGTTGCTCTCTACGACCTTTAGGTGTTGCTCTCTAGGACCTTTAGGTGTTGCTCTCTAGGACCAGCAGGTGTTGCTCTCTAGGACCTTTAGGTGTTGCTCTCTAGGACCAGCAGGTGTTGCTCTCTATGACCTTTAGGTGTTGCTCTCTAGGACCTTTAGGTGTTGCTCTCTATGACCTTTAGGTGTTGCTCTCTAGGACATTTAGGTGTTGCTCTCTATGACCTTTAGGTGTTGCTCTCTAGGACCTTTAGGTGTTGCTCTCTAGGACCAGCAGGTGTTGCTCTCTAGGACCTGTAGGTGTTGCTCTCTATGACCTTTAGGTGTTGCTCTCTAGGACCTTTAGGTGTTGCTCTCTAGGACCTTTAGGTGTTGCTCTCTAGGACCTTTAGGTGTTGCTCTCTATGACCTTTAGGTGTTGCTCTCTAGGACCAGCAGGTGTTGCTCTCTAGGACCTGTAGGTGTTGCTCTCTATGACCTTTAGGTGTTGCTCTCTAGGACCTTTAGGTGTTGCTCTCTAGGACCTTTAGGTGTTGCTCTCTAGGACCAGCAGGTGTTGCTCTCTAGGACCAGCAGGTGTTGCTCTCTAGGACCTTTAGGTGTTGCTCTATGACCTTTAGGTGTTGCTCTCTAGGACCAGCAGGTGTTGCTCTCTAGGACCTGTAGGTGTTGCTCTCTATGACCTTTAGGTGTTGCTCTCTAGGACCAGCAGGTGTTGCTCTCTATGACCTTTAGGTGTTGCTCTCTAGGACCAGCAGGTGTTGCTCTCTAGGACCTTTAGATGTTGCTCTCTAGGACCAGCAGGTGTTGCTCTCTAGGACCTTTAGGTGTTGCTCTCTATGACCTTTAGGTGTTGCTCTCTATGACCTTTAGGTGTTGCTCTCTAGGACCAGCAGGTGTTGCTCTCTAGGACCTTTAGGTGTTGCTCTCTAGGACCAGCAGGTGTTGCTCTCTAGGACCTTTAGGTGTTGCTCTCTAGGACCAGCAGGTGTTGCTCTCTAGGACCTTTAGGTGTTGCTCTATAGGACCAGCAGGTGTTGCTCTCTAGGACCTTTAGGTGTTGCTCTCTAGAACCAGCAGGTGTTGCTCTCTAGGACCAGCAGGTGTTGCTCTCTAGGACCAGCAGGTGTTGCTCTCTAGGACCAGCAGGTGTTGCTCTCTAGGACCTTTAGTGTTGCTCTCTATGACCTTTAGGTGTTGCTCTCTATGACCTTTAGGTGTTGCTCTCTAGGACCTTTAGGTGTTGCTCTCTAGAACCAGCAGGTGTTGCTCTCTAGGACCTTTAGGTGTTGCTCTCTAGGACCTTTAGGTGTTGCTCTCTAGGACCTTTAGGTGTTGCTCTCTAGGACCAGCAGGTGTTGCTCTCTAGGACCAGCAGGTGTTGCTCTCTAGGACCTTTAGGTGTTGCTCTCTAGGACCTTTAGGTGTTGCTCTCTAGGACCAGCAGGTGTTGCTCTCTAGGACCTTTAGGTGTTGCTCTCTAGGACCTTTAGGTGTTGCTCTCTAGGACCTTTAGGTGTTGCTCTCTAGGACCTTTAGGTGTTGCTCTCTAGGACCTTTAGGTGTTGCTCTCTAGGACCTTTAGGTGTTGCTCTCTAGGACCATTAGGTGTTGCTTTCTAGGACCAGCAGGTGTTGCTCTCTAGGACCTTTAGGTGTTGCTCTCTATGACCTTTAGGTGTTGCTCTCTAGGACCAGCAGGTGTTGCTCTCTAGGACCTTTAGGTGTTGCTCTCTAGGACCTTTAGGTGTTGCTCTCTATGACCTTTAGGTGTTGCTCTCTAGGACCTTTAGGTGTTGCTCTCTAGGACCTGTAGGTGTTGCTCTCTATGACCTTTAGGTGTTGCTCTCTAGGACCTTTAGGTGTTGCTCTCTAGGACCTTTAGGTGTTGCTCTCTAGGACCTTTAGGTGTTGCTCTCTATGACCTTTAGGTGTTGCTCTCTAGGACCTTTAGGTGTTGCTCTCTAGGACCTGTAGGTGTTGCTCTCTATGACCTTTAGGTGTTGCTCTCTAGGACCTTTAGGTGTTGCTCTCTAGGACCTTTAGGTGTTGCTCTCTAGGACCTTTAGGTGTTGCTCTCTAGGACCAGCAGGTGTTGCTCTCTAGGACCAGCAGGTGTTGCTCTCTAGGACCAGCAGGTGTTGCTCTCTAGGACCAGCAGGTGTTGCTCTCTAGGACCTTTAGGTGTTGCTCTCTAGGACCAGCAGGTGATGCTCTCTAGGACCAGCAGGTGTTGCTCTCTAGGACCTTTAGGTGTTGCTCTCTAGGACCTGTAGGTGTTGCTCTCTATGACCTTTAGGTGTTGCTCTCTAGGACCTTTAGGTGTTGCTCTCTATGACCTTTAGGTGTTGCTCTCTATGACCAGCAGGTGTTGCTCTCTATGACCAGCAGGTGTTGCTCTCTAGGACCTTTAGGTGTTGCTCTCTAGGACCTTTAGGTGTTGCTCTCTATGACCTTTAGGTGTTGCTCTCTATGACCAGCAGGTGTTGCTCTCTATGACCAGCAGGTGTTGCTCTCTAGGACCTTTAGGTGTTGCTCTCTAGGACCAGCAAGTGTTGCTCTCTAGGACATTTAGGTGTTGCTCTCTAGGACCTTTAGGTGTTGCTCTCTAGGACCAGCAGGTGTTGCTCTCTAGGACCAGCAGGTGTTGCTCTCTAGGACCAGCAGGTGT